GAACTAGAAGAAGTGGCTGTTAGATTTTTCAGTGATTATTTTCAACAGTATCTGGATAAGATAGACAGCGATTATATGATAAAATTTTTAAAACAAATATTTGATAAATAATATTCTAATTCTTCTTATTATGGGCGATAATAAAAAGAATTCTATAATAAACGATGTTTATTATGATAGGGCAGGTTTCGGAAGCAAAAAGCAGACATTGAAAGATGCAAGAGAGAAAGATAAAACTATTACAATGGCAGACGTTGATAATTTTTTTAGGGAAAATGTTGAACAGAAGAAGCAGATAAGAGGAAGAAACACCTTTATAGCACCAGAACCTTTTTACGAATTTCAATTTGATTTGTTTTGTATAAATGACCTCCAAAATCAAAAATTCAACATCGGGGCGATAATGATTGATGTGTTTAGTCGGTTTATGGTGGTAGTCCCGATTAAAAACAAGAACGAAGCAAACATAGCAGCAGGAATTATAGAGGGCTTTAACAAAATGGGAGGAAAGCCAAAAATACTTTATACCGATGACGAGGGGGCATTACAGAAGGAAGCGATACAAAAATATTTGAACGAGGAAGGCATACAGCACCACAGAACCAGAGCACACGCTAATTTTAGTGAAAGAGCCATTAGAACATTTAAGGATATGCTTTATAAAAGAGTTGAAGCCGACGAAAAGAAGGGAAAAAATAATATCCAATGGACAGATTATATTTTTGAAATTTTACTAACATACAATAACAAAATGGAACATTCAGCTATAAAAATGACACCGAAGGAAGCAATGAAGGAAAAGAACGAATTGAAGGCAAAACAAAATATGACCAGACAAGCAACCAGAACCCGAAAGTATCCCGAGATATCAGTGGGCAGTAAAGTTAAAATTTACAGGAAAAGGAAAATTGGAGAAAAAGAAAGGGTCAGTTTATGGAGCAAGGAAACATATGAAGTAGAAAGAATAGAGGAAAGGAACAACCAAAGTAATTTTTATGTAAAGGGCAATAGCCGACCATATTTAAGATTTGAACTTTTAAAACTTTAAAAAATATATAGAAATTTTATTATAAAAATTTTTCTTTAAAAATGGTTTAAAGAAAAAATAATATATAAATATTAATATATAGTTTATAGTATGAACAAGTTTGTAGAGAGCAATGTCAGGAAACTGAACAAACTGAAACAGGAGCGAATCAATAGCGCGAACAAAATCACCCAAGCAACAAAAAACAGGCTAAATCAGATCGTATCACTTTACAAGGATAGGAAAATTGCAAATGTAGCAACCGCCGAGAACTTCATAAAAAACCTTACCAGCACCAATAAAAGAACAGCAGAAAAAGCGAGGGACAAATACAACGAAACAATCAAAGACCTTAAAAAGTCAAAACCCCTGAACGAACGAATAGCCGAAAAGAAAAGTATGAATAGTTATTTGGTGAATTTTCAACTTTATGTGGTTAAAGACCCTGCAAAAGCAAAAATGAAACCTGCATTTACAAGAAATGGAAAAAGCTTTTATATTGAAAACTTTGACATAAGACAGGCGACTGTAAAAGCAAAAACGTTTGACACTAAATGGATAAAGAAGATTATTTATAAAATATATGATACAAATGATGACAACGAAATAGAGAAAACAACTGTATTATACGATTTAGGTGATGGAGTTAAAAAATTAGTGAGCTATGTATACAAACAATTGATTGATATATTAAGGACGGATAAAGACTTTAATGAATTATAAAGGGGTTTCAGCAAGTATACACAGATATTTTTGATGCGATCAAAATTCAACAGGTGGAAAAAATCAGTAAAAGCGGTGAGAAGTTTGACATAATGAAGGAAAGCCTCACAGATGGAATACAACAGGTATCGATGTATCACCGCTATATTTACACAGACCTTAACAGCAACTTAACAACATTGAGACAAGCAATGGAAAATAGCACACACGTAGAAAATCAATGTTGGATAAATTCACTATCCGATTTTTACCGTGATACCTTAATGGACTATGGCAAAAGAAATCAACTGACTAGGGAAAAAATTATTGAAATTATAGGCAGAAGCGATTTTTATAGCAATGGAGCGAGTATTGAAGAAATGGATAAGGTCTTTAAGGCATTCAAAATACCAGCTAGAATTTACAACAGCTTCAACAAACTGATTTACAAACACGAGCCCGAGCACAACAAACGAAGAATAAAGCCATTTTACGCCATTGTAAAAAACAGCCATATATACACGATAAATAACGATCTAAAAAGTATAGAACATAAACAAAACGAAGAAGAAGAAAGACCACTGGTGAAAGCCTCCACAGACTACCATTTAAACGAAAAGGAAGAGCCACCTGAATTTAAAATGTTCAGAGATACACACGACATTTTAAAAATGGTCAGTAAAGACAAAGAGCCAAAAACTATTCATTTAGTGCCCGAGCTAAACAATTTGACCGAAATATTTTTTGAACTAGTGAATGCTAGATATGAGCCACAGATCAGATTTCAAGCAGGCATCATAACACAAATAAAAATGAAACTTAAAAAAACCACTTTTATAATAAAAACCCAAAATCTGATTAAAGACTCTTCCGATGGATGTATAGCAGTTGATAACGAAAAAACATACAACAATATGAACGATGCAATGTTTCATTTTAACAAAAGCCTGTTTAATCCATTGCACAAGTCCTTTTATAACAAAGTGGATTTGGAAATTTACCACGAAGCAAAAACCATACCACCGGCAGGACTTTTTACAGATAAGGGTTCCATACCAAAAAACCTAACCGAGATTGACATAACCAAAGCTTACACAAGCAGACTAGTAGGGATTACACAGGTGCCGGTTTTTAATCAGTTCGATGTCTGGAAAAACTACCTTAAAGAGATGGATTTTAACACGATGTCGGACTACACTTTATTTTTCGTTGAAGATTGTAGCCAATGTGGAATTGTAAAACCCAGCACCTTTTTAATGTTTAACAAGAGGTATAACCTGATTTACGGAAAATATTTGAAACAAATTGACACCAATAAACTGAACATACTGTATTATAAGACACCATCCTTTATTCACGAGGTAAATTATAACGATTATGTAAAAGAACTATGGAACAAAAATATTAGTGACGAAGAAGAACTGGATAAACTGATTAAAAAACTTATTGTAAATGTTAATATCGGACTTTTGGAAAAAACGGGTAGCACTGACCAAAAAAGCATTGTCTTTAAGAACCTCAGGGAAGCATCGGATTTTCAATTAAGGCACGGAGGTAAAATTCACAAAATAACAGAAATGGAATGTAGAAACGAAACAACTTACGAAGGCGATATAGAAAACGATAATTTTTCTATGCAAATACAGACGACAGAAGAAGAAGGTCTGGAATATTATTTGGTTAATGTTTCAGACAAGGCAACGTTAAACAACGGTTTTATTTACATCAAAGAGCTGTTGCTTCAAGATCATAATTTTAAAATGTGCCAAGATTATAATAAATTGAGGAAAAATTCTATAATTGCAGTCAGTGTAAAAACAGATGCATTTGTTATTAAATCCGAAGATGTGGAAAAAGCAAAGGAAGTATTAGAAATGAAAGCTGGTATAGGAGAATGGAGAACGAATAAAGAAGGGGAGGAAGTAAAATTGCCGAGTGAAACATATCAGAGGAAAAAGAACGAACTGGATAAAATCCCCGTCTACAAGAATACAGCAATAAAAATTAAGGACGAATATGATACAAAAAATATCATAGAAAAAGTTATTAGCGCTAAACATGTTATGATCAGGGCAAAATATGCAGGGTCTGGAAAAAGTTATATATGTGAAAAAATGGCGCGGATGGGAATGAATGTTTTATTTGTATGTCCGACAAATAAGCTAGTCCAAAAATACGGAAAGGAAGCGGTAACAGTTAATAAGTTTTTTGCCATAGCAGTCGGTGATGAGAAGTTAGAAAAGTTTGATTATTCAGGTTATGATGTTATAGTGTTTGACGAGATTTATTTTAATGGTTTAAGGGTATTGAATAGAATTAGGGAATTTGTTGAAAACAATCAAGATAAAATAATAGTGGCAACAGGAGATGGTAAGCAATTAAAACCAGTATCGGAATTAACAAATTTACAGGAGCACGAAGAATACGCTGATAACTGTGTTGATAAGATTTTTAAATATAATATTTATTTGAAAGTTTGTAAGAGGTTAAGAAAAGAGGAAGACAGGAAAAAATTAGAAAATATTTATATTGACATTTTTGAAAATAATGTTAAGGTCAGAGAGCTAGTAGAAAAATATTTCAAATACACTTCCGATATGAACCTAAACGAAAATAATGTAGCTTATTTGAACGACACCTGCAAGGAAGTAGCAAACCAAATAAGAAAAAAGCAAAATAGAAAGGGCGAGTATGAAGTAGGTGAGGTGATGATATGCAGAGAGTATTTAAAATCAACAGAATATAAATTTCAAGTAAATTTTAAATACAAGATTTTAAACATCATTGAAAATATGGTAGTGTTGGAAGACGAGCATAATAAGAAAATACAAAAAATATCGTTAGATATGTTGAGGAAGCATTTTATATTCAATTATTGTTTTACCTGCCACAGTGTCCAAGGTTCCAGCATAGAGGGAGGTATAACAATATTTGATTACAATCATTGTTTAGTAGATAAGAATTGGATATGGACAGCGATTACAAGAGCAACTGATTTAAATAATGTGAGTTTTTATAAATATGACGACGACGATGACGATTTTAATAAAAACTGTATTTACAATTATTTAAAAAGAAAGGTGGAAGGATATAAGGAGCAAGACAGAAAAGCTAAAAGGAAAATTGACCATAAAAACTATATTACAGCAGATTGGTTATTAGATAGATTGAATGGGCACTGTGAATTGTGCAATGTAGATTTTTATGTAAAGGCAATAAACGGAAATATAAGAACGAACCTGACGGCGCAAAGAAAATTTAACGACCAAACTCACACGATAAGCAACTGCATAGCATATTGCAAAAAATGCAACTGCTGTATGAGCGACAAGGAAAAGTTTTAAAAAGATTTAGTTTTAAAAAAAACTTTTATATTATATTGTATATATGCCCGTTAGCAAAACCAAGGTTGTTAAAGAGGAAACCATAGTAGAAAAACCGAAGGAGGAAGAAGAGCAAGGATTTAACGAAAAAGCTTATGATATGATTTCGGAGGTGCATCATAAAATGGATTTGATGTTAGAAAAAATTGAGGCTATCAGTGAAAAACCTAAATCCAGAACAAGCAATTTAAATACCGAAGCATCATATACAAACAAAAGAAACGCCTATATTAAGAAATTAAACGAAGGAGCAATTTTACAACCAAAGCCGGAAACAATGGAATATTATAAGGTTGTAAAAGAGGGTGATAAATTTGTTTAGATTTTTTACCAAGATTTTTTACAACAATTTTTGATAAAAAAATACAAAGTTTTTTACAAAGATAATTTATAAAATGCAATTTTTCAACAAATATTTTTGGAAGATTTTTATGATGAAAAAATTGGAAAATTATTTTTATGAAAATTTTGGAAAATTTTATGATGAAATTTTTAATATTTTTTATCATAAAATTATTGATTTTTTATTGAGATTTTTTGTTAGGAATGGTTGAGGGTAGGATGTCAAAAATTAGGAAAAATATATTGAAATGTTGAAAACGTATATCCCCCCCTAGGGAAAAAACGAATGAGGGTTGAGCGGGTGTAAAAAAAAGTGGGGCATACCCTGTCCTAACTCAAATCGGGACCATGAAGCTTTAAGCTCAGGCCACTGAAGCCCATGACCATCTTAACATGATCACCAAAAAAGCACACATAATCATCGTTCAGTGCAGTTTTGTTGGCAGCACTCTAAACCCTAAACCCTAAACCCTAAAACCTAAAGCCTAAACCCTAAACTCTAAGGCCATGGGATCAGCCCCGAGGATCCTGTACCGAAGTGGCGGCGGACGCCTTCTTCTTGTCCAGGGAAGTGGCAGCAAAGGTCTTGGTCTTGATCTCCTCGATGTAGACCTCCACTAGGCTGGGTTTAGGGTTTAGGGTTTAGGGTTTAGGGTTTAGGGTTTAGGGATTAGGGTTTAGGGTTTAGGGTTTAGGGTTTAGGGTTTAGGGTTTAGGGTTTAGGGTTAGGGCATCTCCTCGATGTAGGCCTTCAGGTCCAGGTCTCAGGGTTCAGGCTTCAGGGTTTCTACGTTTACCCGCTTCAAGGCCTCCTCGGCAAATATAAACCCTAAACCCCATGAAGCCCTTCAAGACGCTGACCCTGAACCCTCAAACCCGAAAACCTTAAACCCTCAACCCTAAACCCTAAACCCTAAACCCTAAACTCTAAACCCCAAACCCTAAACCCTAAACCCCACTCACCTCGAACTGGTGCTTCAGCGCCGCGTTGCTGGTGGCAGCCGCGTGCCTCAGGACTTCGGCGCGCTTGAGGATGGACTTCTTCAACTCCGGGATGTTGGAGTAGCAGGTCCTGGCTGCATACCTGCTTGGTTTAGGGTTTAGGGTTTAGGGTTTAGGGTTTAGGGTTTGGGGTTTGGGGTTTAGGGTTTGGGGTTTAGGGTTCAGGGTTTGGAGTTCTAGGGCTTGGGGCTTCTCAGGGCTGGAGGTCATTCGGGGTCTAGGGTTTAGGGTTTAGGGTTTAGGGTTTAGGGTTTCGGGTTTGGGGCTTGATCTCAGTGATAGGGGCTCTGTGTAATTCGTGGATTCCTTGGTGTTTCGTCTCCACGAGGAGGCAGAACCTCTGCTCGGCCCCAGAAGGCTCGAGGATGTTTGCTAACTTTAGGGTTTAGGGTTTGGGGTTTGGGGTCTGGGGCTTAGGGTTTGGGGTTTAGGCTTTTTTGGGGTTTAGGGTTTGGCGATTGGGGTTTAGGGGTTTCAGGTTTAGGGTTTAGGGTTTGGGGCTTAGGGTTTGGGGATTGGTGTTTGGGGTTTAGGTTTGGGGCGGGGCTCTACTATCACTTGCAGGCCTCTACAAAAAAAGCGCGATTTGTGGGCGGCGGAGGATACTTCTTGTGGCGGTAGCACTGGGCACTTAACCCTAAACCCTATAAAGCCCCTATAAACACCAAACCTAGTAGAGGGCCCCCCGCACCCCCAAAGGGTTTAGGGGTAGCAAACCGGGCCTGGGTTCTTGTTGTCGGCGCCCTATGGACTTGGGTTTCGTCCACACAACCCTAAACCCTAGAAAACCTACGACACCTACACGGCCGATACCTAAAGCCTCTGAGTCCCAAGCCCTTTAAAATTTTAAACACCGATCTACACCCTTCCTTTCACTGTAAACCCTAAAAACCCTAAACCCTCAAGGCCCTAAACCCTTTCTTCTTCCAGGCAAGAGGCTGTTCGTCCGTCAGGGCCACGCGGATGGTGGAGACGAGCCGCTCGAAGTAGATCCAGCCCCGCTCGTCCGCGGGCACGGCGTTTCGCTTGCCCAACGGAGAGGGTCTAACGACGAAGACCTTGGGTTTAGGGCGTTGGCTATACTTCCCGTAGAACCTTAATAAAAACTAATATGTGTCTTGGGTTTATATAAACATAAACAAAAATAATTCCCAAGGGGGATATAGTTGAGCTTAGGAGTCACAAAGCCCGCATGAACCTCTCCTTTTCGCGCTCAACTCTGGGTTGCCCTGCCATGCGAAGCTTCCGCACCCTTACCACTCCCACGTTCGGTACCCCAGGCATCTCTTCATCCCTGCAACAGGTTGGCCCCTGAACAGGGTCAGGGTTTAGGGTTTAGGGTTTAGGGTTTAGGGTTTAGGGTCAGGGTTTCGTTGACAAGACCCTCACATTTCGTGAGAGGCGGCTGTTGAAGCGGGAGCCGTTCTAACTCAAACCCTTCATGGGTGCATTGTAGATTCAAAAAACCTCATAAACGGGACCCCCCCCCCCCAAAGAGACCGAATGCAAATGTCTTTGCCCCTAAACCCTAAACCCTAAACCCTAAACCCTAACCCTAAACCCTAAACCCTAAACCCTAAACCCTAAACCCTAAACCTCAAATCCCTAAACCCCAAGCCCTCCCTGCGCTACTGCGGCTCCGGGTGGCCGGATCTTCTTTCTCCGGCAGGATTGAGTTGGGACAGAGGAACCTGGGATGCTTGGGTTCAGGGTTTAGGGTTTAAGGTTTAGGGTTCAGGGTTAAGGAACTTTGGGGTTGAGGGTTTAGGGTTCAGGAATTAGGGCTTGGGAATTTTGGGTTTAGGGTTTGGGAAAGTTTGAGGTGTTAGGAACTTTGTGTTGAACCAGGCACGATATTAAGGTTTGGGGTTAAGGGTTTCGGGGAAGGAGTTTAGGAACTTCCTAAGGTCATAGAGGCACGTTGGGCTCGCTCGGCCCAAACTCCTACGCCCGCAAGGGTTTGGGGTTTAGGTTCCGAATCTCCAGGGTTTAGGGCTGAGGGTTTAGGGATATTTTGATATGCCCCGAAATTACAAACCTTTACTGCCCTGAAACCATCACAAAGACCCCAAACCCTGAACCCTGAACCCCGAAAGCTGCTCCGACAAGCCGTATCCCACAATGTACCCCTCACCCTACTTGGAGGTTCATGGGTAGTTCTAAGTCGGGGTTCTTATAAGTAGGGTAACTATAGCTATAATTCGTTATGGCCTGATTTAGGGTCCTTATAACCCACTGAAGTAGACCCAAGAGTAACGCTGTTGGGGCTCATACCTCAGCCATAACCCCCTAAACCCAAAACCTCAAACCTTCAACACCGAAGCCCCCGAAACCCCTAAACCCCCTGAATTCCCTAAACCCCTTAACCCCCTAAACCCCCTAAACCCCCCAAACCCCTTAAACCCCCTAAACCCCCCTAAACCCCAAACCCCAAACCCCAAACCCCAAACCCTAAACCCTAAACCCTACCAGCAACTGCAACAGGCAGCTTTGGCATGGAGAATCTCTTCTTCTTGGGGGTGAGGTCAGAGATGCTGCTCACCTCTCAACATACAAGTTGCCAGCTTCTTGAGGAAGGCATTAAGGAGTTCGGTGCCCTATCTCCTCAAACTCTAAACCCTCAACCCTCAACCCGAAACTCAAGCCGAAACCCTGAACCCTAAGCCCACTTCAGGATGATACAGGGCCCCTGAATTCCCTAAACTCCACTGGAGACATGTTGGGGGTTTAGAGGTTTGGGAGTTTATGGTTTAGGGTTTAGGGTGTTTACCACGGGCTTACGAGGCTTTGTAAGGCTCATGGTGTTGGGGGTTGAGGGTGGTGTTTAGGGTGGGGTTTGGGGTTTGGAGTTTAGGGGGTTTAGGGGGTTTAGGGCAGCTTGGGGGGGCTGGGCTTTAGGGTTTTGGGTCTGTGAAAGCGTTTTGGGGCTGAGGATTGAGCTTGTCATAGGGTTGACAGGCAGGGTCTAGGGTTTAGGATTGAGGGCTTGGGTCGTAGGAATTTGGGCTTGCGGCTCCGGCCTTTAGAGATTGTGCTTCAGGGCCAATGGTTCAGGGTTTAGGGCTTGTGTCTTAGGGTTTCACGGGGCTTTGGGACTTCATAGCGTTTTCGGCTGATTCAGGCTTCAGGCTTCAGGGATTTCAGGTTCTAGGGTTCAGAGTCCAGGGTTTATGTTTTGATTGGGGTTTGGGGTTTGGACTTTTAGGATTTAGGCCTTAGGGTCTAGGGTTGAGGTTTCGAACTCTAGGGTTTAGGGGTTATGGTGTCTTGAGGTCTTTGGCGCTTTGCGCTTGTTTAGAGTTGCCACGATGTGCAAAATCACACACCCTGCGCCCTGAACCGATCTGGGGTTTAGGATTTAGGATTTATGGCCCAAACCCGAAACCTTCTCGAAGCCCCAGAACCGATCTAGGGCTTAGGGTTAGGATTTGGGGCCCAAACTCTACACTTGTCGAAGCCCCAGTGCTGAGTCTGCTGAAGGGCCCTTGTAGGTATAAGTAGCTACAGTAGGAACCCACCCAAAACACCCTAAACCCTAAACCCTAAACCCCAAACCCTAAACCCTAAACCCTAAACCCTAAACCCTAAACCCTAAACCCTAAACCCTAAACCCTAAACCCTAAACCCAAGTATAGTACCCCAAAACCCAGCCACCTGTTTGGCGCCATCTACGGACTCGACCGTGTACACCGGCAGCTTCGCCAGTGAGCCGTCGTCGGCCTGTTGCTTCACATACCCCTAAACCCTAAACCCTAAACCCTAAACCCTAAACCCTAAACCCTAAACCCTAAACCCTAAACCCTAAACCCTAAACCCTAAACCCTAAACCCTACACTTAACTTCACAAACCCCTAGACCCCTGCTCTGGGCCCTAGACCCTCAACCTTAAGGCGTGGCGGTTTTCGGATTTCGGGGTTTGGGGGGGCCAAAGCCCTAAACCCGAAGCACCCGCGCGGTTGCCTGGTACTGGTTGTAAGCCAAGACAACCTTGGCAGCCCAGCAACCTTATTATAATAAGGGCACCCTTTTTTGGTTTGGTTACTTTATAAGGGTTTATTGAAATTATTCAGGGTTCAGGTTCGGGGAAGTTTCTAGGAAAGTTTCGGGTTTTTAAACTGTTGAATAATTTCAAGTTACAGGGGGCTTGAGGGTTTAGGGTTTAGGGTTTAGGGAAGCAAAAAGGTAAAGGTGCCAATGGGCTACCAAGGCAACAGTGCCGTTCTCCCTTAGCTCGAACTTGCCAAGCTCCTCTTCCTTCAGCGTCTCGTGCCTGGGCTTGGAAAACCCGGCAGCAAAAAATCCTAAACCCTAAACCCTAAACTCCTAAACCCGAAACCCTAAACCCTAAACCCGGCCGCCCCTCCCCCCCCCCCGGCCCCCCCAACCTCACGCCACAAACCCCAAAGTGCAGGACCCTTCGGGGAAACCCAAACCCCAAACCCACCCTGAACCCTAAACCTGCTTGCTCACCTGCCCTGCTTCGTAGGATGTAAGAAAGGCTTACTAGGTGGGGCCATAAGCCCTCAACCTCTAAATTCTACTCTTTCCTAAACCCTAAACCCCAGGGTTTAGGGTTTAGGGTTTAGGGTTTAAGGTTTAGGACCCTACATGCAAGCCCCAGAGGCAGGTGTTCCACCTCCAATTCTGGCCAGTCCCCGTCGATGTGGAGCACAGCGTCGGCGGTGAAAAAGATCCTTCACCGGTTTAGAATTTGGGGTGTGGGGTTTAGGGTTTAGGGTTTAGGGTTTGGGGTTTAGGGTTTAGGGTTTGGGGTTTAGGGTTTAGGGTTTGGGGTTTGGGGTTTGCGGTTTAGGGGTTGGGGGCTTAGGACTAGACGGTTAGACTATCTCATCAGAAAGGGGCACTTTGGGGTTTTGGGCTTCGGGTGCAAAGTGCAGGCGGGCCCGCTTTAAGAATGCGCGCTTGAGGGTAGTTAAATGAATACATATGAGTATATATATATATATATATTTATTTATTTATTTATTCATTTATTTATTTATCTTTATACTTGTATTTATATTTATATTTAATTTACATACTTATATGCAGATTTTTCTCCGCCATTCTTCTATATACTGTTGTCGGACATATCAGGAGCCAACATGGCCACCTGCGTTCAGCCTTTCTGGTCTAGGGTTTAGGGTTTAGGGTTTAGGGTTTAGGGTTTAGGGTTTAGGGTTTAGGGTTTAGGGTTTAGGGTTTAGGGTTTAGGGCAGGTTACGGGATGCAGCGACCATGGGTCCAAGCTTCCGGCTTGGGCAGGCAAACCCTAAACCCTAAGCCCTAAGCCCTAACCCCTAAACCCTAAACCCTAAACCCTAAACCCTAAACCCTAAACCCTACCTGGGACCCTGTTTACCTGCAGTTTAGTAGGCAACTACTGATTTGCTGTCTCCAAAGGCTTCCCTTAATTAGTGGGAATAGCCAGGTAATTAGGGTTCAGGGGAAGACTGAGTGGCGCGGGCACTCCACTTCAAACGCGCCCTTGACCGGTGACCTAAGCACCATCAACCACAAGACCGAGACATGAGCCGCAGCTCCTGATCCGCTCCTAAGCCCCCAAAAAATGCCCTAGACACAATGACAGTCCAACCTCAACACCCTACCTGGGAAACTACTTACCTACAGCTTAGTAGTAGCTACCCCTTAATCAGTCGGTAGAACCTCAATAAACTGTAGGTAAAGATGGTAAAGAGAGCCCCGGGTAAAGCTTCGGGTTAGGGTTCGAGACCCCGCGGTCGCTGCCAAGCATCTCGGGCAGAGCGTTGATGGCTTTGAGGAAGTCGGCTTGCTCGTCCGGCGTTCGCTCGCGCTGGCCAGGCAGGAAGGGGTTCTGGCTCATGCTCCTTGGCCGGCAACAAGTAGGGTTTAGGGTTTGCCTTGTAGAATCTAGAACCTACATGTTTGTAGGTTACCTAAGAAGACCATAAGGGGTTTATAAAAAGAACCTACAAAAATGTAGGTTCTGGGCGGCTTTTAAAGGTCGGGTTTAGGGCATAAAATGGGCCTAGGGCCAGGGACTTTGCGGGGTCGCCCTAAACCCCGCGAAAGGTCCTCTAGTATTCCTAACTGCGGGCACGGCTTAGGGCCCAGGAAGGGGGAGTTCGTGAGCCATCAGGGTTTGGGGTGTAGGGTTTAGGGCGCAGCCTGGGGGACTGGTCTTCGTGTTCTGGAGTCTCGGGGTGTTTTTAGTCTGTGGTGCTTTGGAAGGTTTAAGGATTAGGGGATTAAACCCTAAACCCTAAACCCTCAACTTCTAAACCCTTTGTCCAAGAGCAGAAGAGGCTCATAAAGTCAAAGAAGAGCAGCGCCTCCCCTGAGATCTGGTAGTCTTTGACAGCCTCAGACTTGCTCCTAAAGCCCAAGCCCTAAACCCTAAACCCTAAACCCTTGGGGGCTTAGGGTTGGGGGGTGGGGGGGGGGGGGGGGGGTAGGGGGGTTAGGGGGGTTAGGGGGGTTAGTTTGCTTAGCTCTGGGGGCTTCGGGGGCTTGGGGGGGTCAGGGGGGCTAGGCCTCTCCCCCTCCGAGAATAGAACGCCCCTGAGCATACGGAACGGCACCTTGACTCACGTTAGGACCACACATTCGAATTTGAGGTACGTTCCTGACTCAAGCGTCTTGGACCTGGGCTCTCTGGGTACCGCTAAACCCAAAACCCTAAACCCTAACCCCCACACCCGAATTAAACCCTAAACCCTAACCAAAAAAGCTCTAAACCCTAAACCCTAAACCCTAAACCCCGAACCCGCGCCTGGTGGGTCAGCTCCTTGACGGTCTTTGCCTTCTGGCCGAGTGGGTCCGGGTGGAGCTGATGCGACCAAGCGTGGGACACAGCTAGGATCAGATCATCCTCCAGGCGGGCTGAGGGTTTGGGGTGTAGGGTTTAGAGGGGTTTAGGGTTTAGGGTTTAGGGTTCAGGGTCTAGGGTTTAGGGTTTAGGGTTTAAACCGATACCCTAAACCCAAAACCCCTGAGGGGTCCCAAGGCTCACACGGGGCTTCGGGCTGGGCACTTCGGGCGGGCTTTTGCCGTGTCACGGGTGCCATCCAAAGCTAAGAGTTTCCGAAATAGAGAGAAAGAGAGAGAAAGAGAGAGGAAGAGAGAGCAAGAGAGAGAAATAGAGAGAAAAAGAGAGAAAGAGAGAGAAAGAGAGAGAAAGAGAGAGAAAGAGAGAGAAAGAGAGAGAGAGAGAGAGCAAATACTGCCAACAAATGGGCCACACGTGGGGTGAGCCTAAGATCCCGTGTGAAAGTGAAGGTACGCTTGAAAACAAAGACACCAAAAAATCAAACATAAGGATCCTACAAAGAGGGTTATGCAGCATCCCCCGCACCGGCTTTTCCCTAGCTCCCTCTTAAGAACGACAGACATCATCCCACATGAGAGAGGGTCTCAAGTGACCGCCTTCAGGCAGTTTGGATGCCAAGAACGGAGCAACATCCCTAAATCCTAAACCCATGGGGGGTTTAGGAAATTGGGGGAGCGCTGAAATAAACCCCCAAACTAGTAGGACTGCTTTGCAAAATGGGCCCAATAAGGTACCCCTATTATCGGAAACCCCCATAGGGCGCACCTTGCCCACCGACAGAATCCCAGCAACTCGCCAGCCAAGTGGGGTTTGGGGTGCTGATGGTTTCTTGTTCGGATCCCTAAGCCCTAAACCCTAAACCCTAACCCCTAAACCCAAAACCCAAAACCCCTCTAAAGTGCTGTAGAACAAGAAGGGGGCCGAAGTAGAACAGACCACCCCCCCCCCCCCCCCAACCCCCTTTCGCCACCCTGAATCCTCAAGACACAAAGGGCTCCGACCTCGCCCACTCTGAGGTTTAGGGTTTAGGGGTTTAGGTTTAGGGGGTGAGGGTTGAGGGTTTAGGGGTTTAGGGGTTTAGGGGTTTAGGGGTTTAGGGGTTTAGGGGTTTAGGGGATGTTTAGGGGTTTAGGGGTTTAGGGGTTTAGGGGTTTAGGGGTTTAGGTTTAGGGGTTGAGGGTTTAGGGCTCCCAACCCCAAACTACAGACCCTAAACCCTAAACCCCAAAAACCCCTCAAAAGAAAACTCCCACTCCTTGGTGGGCACCTTCCTCTTCGCACCGAGCAGCTCAATAAGCCTTAAGGCAAAGTTTAGGGCTTAGGGTTTAGGGTCTGAGGCAAAGTTTAGCGTTTCGGGTTTAGGGTTTAGGGCCAAACACCCGAACACCCTAACACGCCAAAATCCTAACACCGCAACACCCTACTGTAGCACCCTAAACCCAAAAACCCTAGCACCCTAACTAGCACCCTCGACTCAACACCCTAACACCCTCACCCCAAAAAACCCAAAAACCCAACAGCCCAAAACAGCAAAAAAACCCAAAACCCAAAAAAAAACAAAACCCGAAAACCCTAACACCCCAACACCCCAAACGCTATACGTAAACCCGAACGCCTTAAACCCGGCAGGCCCTAACACCTTAACCCCCTACAAACCCGAACACCCTAGAAGCCCTAACACCTTATACACCCGAGCACCCTAGAAACCCTATACTACCCTAAACCCTAAACCCTAAACCCTAAACCCTAAACCCTAAACCCTAAACCCTAAACCCTAAACCCTAAACCCTAAACCCTAAACCCTAAACCCTAAACCCCAACCCTAAACCCTAAACCCTAAACCCGAAACCCTAAACCCTCACACCGGGCGGCTCTTGGCATCTCGGCCATGGGGTGGGCAGTTCCTCCATACACTTGACCGGCGTGAAGGTGACGATGCGATCCTCTGCTCAGGGTTTAGGGTTCAGGGTTCAGGGTTCAGGGTTTAGGGTTTAGTTTCGGGTTTAGGGTTTAGGGTTTCGGGTTCAGGGTTTAGGGCGCTCTGTGGCATCTTCCCAGTTGTGTCTTCGATTTTGTTTCCAAAAGGGGTTTTGTAGGGAACTTAAGGGTCCCGCATTCCCGTACCTCCTTCCCGAACTCCCTTTTAATAAGACTTTTCAGGTCGCTAGGAGCCTATAGGGTTTCGGGCTTAGGGATAACATGTTGCGTGGGGCGAAAGATGTTCGCGAGTTGTGGTGCGCAATAGGACGTGGTCCTGACATTTCGGGGTACCCAAGCCCCCTAAGCCCTGAACCCTGAACCTTCACCCCTGAACACAAAACCCTAAACCCTGAACCCTAAACCCTAAACCCTAAACTCCACTACTGGTATTGGGTCATTCTTGGGAACCCTTGAGGGGACCTACTTTTCGGGGTCCTGGGGAGGGTGTAGATAAAAGAGGGATACTATTGCGTTTATGTAATCGTACGCAGGGGCACCCCATGTACTATATATATATATATACATATATATATATATATACATACATACATCCTCCCAAATATTGCTAAGGAACCGTCTCTACACTGAGCAATATCGGCAAATAAAGACCCTACCTCATTTAGGATGCAGGGTTTGAGAATTCGAGTTTGGCGAATCAGGTTGGCTGGCTTTGTCAAAAGCGCCCTGAGACCAGCCTAGAAGACACGGGTCTAGGGCTAGGGGAATAGGGCTTAAAGCCCTACACCCTTAAACCCCAAAACCTTAAACCCTAAGCCCTACCCTAATAAACCCTAATTAAACACTAAACCCTAAACCCTAAACCCTAGACCCTAGACCCTAAACCCTAAACCCTAAACAATACACCCTGAAACCCTGAAACCCCCAAAACTCTTACATCCCGCAGCCGTGTGTCCAAGCCATCCTTGCACTGCACAGACGCGTGCCGCAGGTCGCTGGAGCTGCTGACCATGCCCTTCTTCATCTCTAAACCTCCTAGCCCTAAACCCTAAACCCTAAACCCTAAAGCCTAAACCCTAAACCCTAAACCCTATACCCTAAAAAGTCATAAGCTTTCGGCTGAAGGGAGCCTAGCAGGGCTTAGGGCCCATGTAAAATGGAGCACCTGGCGATTCTGGATTTTGGGTTTGGGGTTTGGGGTTTAGGGCTTAGGCTGGCTTCCCGGTTTTGTTGCATGGGCTGGGCTTAGGGTTTAGGGTTTAGGGTTAAGGGTTTAGGGTTTAGGGTTTAGGCCTAAGACCTCTGCATATTAAGCAGGCCTTGCTCCTGAATCTCTCTGCCGCCCTCGGCGCCTGAGCGTCACCGTCCCCACTTCTCTTTCGGAGACTAGCACCGCTGCGGGAGAAGGGCCATGCCAAAGAAAGCTTGAGGAAACCCCCCTTCAGAAGCCTCTCAAGCCTCAGAGTCCCCAAACTCCCTGACCCTAAACCCTAAACCCTAAACCCTAAACCCTAAACCTAAACCCTAAACCCTAACCCCTAAACCTAAACCCTAAACCCTAAACCCTGTAAGCCCTAAATCTCTGACTCCCTACGCTTACTCCAAAGCCCCAACCCTCGAAAGCCTCTGAACGAAACATGAGGTTTTAGGGCTTTCGGGGGTTTGAGTTTAGGGTTTAGGGTTTGGGGTTTAGGGTTTAGGGTTTAGGGTTTAGGGTTTAGGGTTTAGGGTTTAGGATTTAGGGTTTAGGGTTTAGGGTTTAGGGTTTAGGGTTTGGGGTTTGGGGTTTAGGGTTAGGGTTTAGGGTTTAGGGTTTAGGGTTTAGGGTTTAGGGTTTAGGGTTTAGGGTTTAGGGTTTAGGGTTTAGGGTTTAGGGTTTAGGGTTTAGGGTTTAGGGTTTAGGGTTTAGGGTTTAGGGTTTAGGGTTTAGGGTTTAGGGTTTAGGGTTTAGGGTTTAGGGTTTAGGGTTTAGGGTTTAGGGTTTAGGGTTTAGGGTTTAGGTCTGGAATTAGTTTGGGGTTTTCGAAATTATTTGTTGGGCAATTGCTCCTTGGTTTAAGGCTTTCGGGGGGTTGAGTTCAGGGTTGAGGTTGGGATGTTCTATACTTTGGGGGATAGGATTAGTTTAGGGGGACCCTTGGGCAACATAGACCCTCTGAATAAGGTCCCTGTTTAAGAGAGCCAGAAGAGGGTTAAGAAGGGTCCCCTTTTGAAGGGTCCCCCTTATCCTACCCAGGATTACTAACAGTTCTTAATAGGGATTCTAATCGGGGATGCGATAATCCCTGTTGAGGACTGCTAGTAGCTGCTAGTATAAGGAGAAAATACCAAGGTTTAGGTTTAGGACGGGTTTAAGGGGTTTAGGAATTCGGGTCTGGGGTGTTGTGGCTTGAAGGGGTTCAGGGTTTGAGGGGTTTTGGCTTAGGGTTTAGGAATTCGGGTCTAGGGTTCCGCGGCTTTCGTTAAAGAGCGTGGAGCACTGGGGCGGAGGATGTGAAGCCTAAACCCTCAAGCCCCTCACACCCCCCAAACCTTAAAACCTAAACATCATGGAGTTAGGGATTACAAACGGTTTAAGGTCTAGAGGGCTTCGGCAACTACTCGACATCTCTACTCAGGCGTACGGACGAGAAAGCCCTTTGGAGGTTCACGAACTCACTTTAAGAGAGTTTAAGGTTGAGGGTTCCCTTTGAGAGGGTTAAGGGTTTAGGGTTTAGGGTTTAGGGTTTTAGGGTTTAGGGTTTAGGGCTTAGGGCTTTGGGTTTAAGAGGGTTTGGGCAGCAGGGGCGGCGTTCTTTCACCGACGCCAAATCAACAGTCACTGGCAACCGAGCATCAAAGGCCAGATCGCACGCGTTTAGGGTTCGGGGTCTAGGGTTAGGCTTGGTTCAGGGTTCAGGGTTCAGGGTTCACGGTTGAGGGCTTTAGGGTTTAGGGTTAGGGTTTAGGGTTCGGGGTCTAGGGTTAGGCTTGGTTTAGGGTTCAGGGTTCAGGGTTCAGGGTTCACGGTTTAGGGTTTCAGGGTTTTAGGGTTTATGTTTAGGATTTAGGGTTTAGGGTTTAGGTTTCAGGGTTTAGGGTTGGGGTTTAGGGCAAACCCTAAAACCCCCCAACACCATACAACCTGCACCCATTTAGGCTCGCTACCCCAAGAAGGGCCCAGGCGTTGGAGAATCGGCCCTGAACCCTAAACCCTAAACCCCAAACCCTAAACCCTCAACCCTAAACCCTAAACCCTAAACCCTAAATACCTCCCCATGAACCCCCCTCCCTTGAAGAACCCTCTAGAGAACTGGCCAGTTGAGGGCTGGGAGCTGCCAGAATCGCGTTTACTCGAACCTTGGGGACCGCATGAAAAAGGGGTTTAGGGCTTAGGGTTTAGGGTTTAGGGTTTAGGGCAAACCCTAAAAGTCCCTAAAGCCCCTAGAAGGGTGTTCGGTCCCCAAGGAATGGGGGGGATGGTGAAACTTGCGAGGCTCAAGAGCCCCCAAATTCCACGCTTCTGAAGTACCTCCAAAACTCAAAGGTTCCCTTCAACTCTCTCAAACTGCCTAGGGGTTTAGGGTTTAGGGTTTAGGGTTCAACATTCTTAAACTGCCTAAGGGTAGGTACATGGTCCTTTCATATGGGCCCTGAAAAGGGACCGCATAGACCCACCCCGCATACATTGGACATTGAACCCTTAAACCCTGAACTCAGTGCCTCGAATCCTTAAACCTGAAACCCTGAACCCCAAGCCCTAAGCCCTAAACCCGGAATCGTATACCCGAAACCCTAAACCCTAAACCCCATAAGCCTCAAACCAGTCTGTAGCAATCTTCGCGCAGCCTCTGGGGCAGGGAGTTGCCACTCACACGACGCCAACTGGGCCTTGCCAGAGTAGGAGAACCCTAAACCCTAAACTCTAAACCCTAAACCCAAAACCCTAAACCCTAAAGCCTACTTGGGTTCAGTGTCGTAGTGTTCAGGGCTTAGAGTGTTTCGGGCAACCATGGGTTTGGAGTGCCTAGGGTTTAGGGTTTTAGTAACGGAACTCTTCAGTCTCTTTCTCCCGAAACCCTGAACCCTGAACCCTAAACCCTAAACCCTAAACCCCAAACCCTAAACCCTAAACCCTAAACCCTAAACCCTAAACCCTAAACTCTCTCTCTCTCTCTCTCTCTCTCTCTCTCTAGGTGCACCGAATTTCGAGGACCGGCGTTGGGTCGTCTCCTGACACACCTAAACTCTAAATGGGGGGTTTCCGAAATTAGAGGTTTAGGGTTTGGGGTCCTTACAGAAAGGGAATCCTAGTATTTGAAGGGGGGGGGGGGGGGCTCTTATAGGGGTCCCATATTTTCGTAAACCCCGAAACGGTGCGGGTTTTTGAGGGGGCTTGAGGGTTGAGAGCTTAGGGGGTTTGGGGTCTAGGGATTGAGGGCTTGAAATTTAGGGCTTACCCTAAATCCTAAACCCTAAACCCTAAGCCCTAAACAGCTCAGCGCCCTAAGCCCGACACCACATACCCGAAGCCCTGGGTTCGAGTAGGGAAGCAGTGAGTGCGGGCTTCCGGTTTCAGGATGTCCCCGACATATCCCCCTTTAAGGGATCTTGAAGGATTTAGGGGATTTGGGGATTCAGGGATTTAGGGCTTAGAGGCCTAAGCCCTAAACCTCTCGGATTCCTCCCAACTTCCCCACTACAGGCCAGTAAGACAAAGCAAGGAGGCCTACCAAGAGATGAAGGCCGAGTATTGGGTAGACTCGCCCAGGCCGGTCACGCCTGGGAAGAAGCTAAACTAGGGTTCAGGGTTTAGGGTTTAGGGCTTAGGGTTTAGGGTTTAGGGTTTAGGGTTTAGGGTTTAGCGTTTAGGGTTTAGGGTTTAGGGTTTAGGGTTTGGGGCTCGGGGTTTGGGGTTGAAGGCTAAGGGTTTAAGGTGTCGACTTTTTTGGAAGGGTTCTTGCGGGTAAGGTCACCCCCACACCTGAACGGGCTTCAGGGTTCTGGGGAAGCTTGACATGAGCCTCGGGGTCTAACCCATACCCCCGAATTCCCTAAACCTAGTGGGCTCGGCCCTCAGGGCTTAACACATGGAGCTGAGGTATTTGCTAAACCCTAAACCCTAAACCCTAAACCCTAAACCCTAAACCCTAAGAGGGGGGTTCAAGAGGGACATGCAAACCCAAGGTTCCCTCTCCA